CGTCAACAGCTGTCTTGACGGCATCAAAACAAGTACCAGTGTACAAGTACAAAAAAGTACCATCAAAACTGCAACGTTTACGGCCTCTTCCAAGTTGAGCTCCTAATTTTCCCGTTTCTTTAAATCTCTTAACTCTTTCGCATCGAAGTCGCTCGTAACGCCCGTTCATTCAGGCAACGGCAAACCGCCCCAAAGCCTCGTTTATTTTCTACCTAGTTCTTTCCCCTCCACATTAGTGTATGGCTCATTGGTTTCGCGAGTTGTTAAAAGACATGTCAATCATTCTTTTGAAGCAAACAAAGGAGAAATACGGAAAGCTATTGACGTTCGCAGGTGCAATCCGGCCCTAAAGTGAAACTGCACACAATGGAAGAAGCCGCAGAAAAACCTCCAAGAGCAGCAAGGGGGAAAGGAAAACTATTCCAAGACAAATTCGTAAACACGGGCGTTTTCGATGTTTGTTGAAAACAGATTTGGTCGTCTCTCGATGCGAAAGAGTTAATCATGGCTCGGATACCTTTAGTAGACATTGGTCCACGCCGTAGATTCTTTCTACGATGAAATCCACGAAAGGCGGAAGCATTCTCCTTGTTTTCGTAAAATAGCTCCACCAATAACACACGTTCAACTAAGGAGACCTTCATTAGTACAGCCGAAACATCGGCTTGAACATCACACCCTCTGTAAACGTTTTATACCCTAACCTTTTTTGCATAAAGCTTCCTCTTCTTTCCAAGCATGCAAATCTCGACATTTTTCTCTTACAACTGACAGCTTTTCCCTATTTTTCATTTTATTACTCATAATTCTTTTTCTGGGTTGTTTATATCGTTTCTGTATTCCGTTTTGGTTGTTTATTGTGTTAAATTTCACGTTTTTTCCGAAAAGGTGCCCTCTGGTGGACATTTTGGAACTAAAAATTGTTTTTCGAAATTTCGTGACCGCATCTCGTATATAGCGCATATACAAAATTTCGTTGCATTCCGTTCACCCGTTTTCGCTGTAAGATGCCGGTTATAGGGGAAGTTTAATTATAACCACCCGGTACAATAGGTTATTAAATAATTCCTTCTGAAAATAGAAAAGGATTAGCAAGGCTGCTTTGTATATTTTATGTATTTTTTAATATCATTCAAATGTCTATTAGTTATTTAAAACTCCTGATCAACGGGAAAAGATGGTGACATTTGGATTGTTCGGTTCAACGAAATGACCGATTAATCTGTTTCCTGGTGAAAATCAAAAGGATCGCTCAGCAACAAATACCGAATGCTGAAGGAAACGATATTTATCATCCATGGTTTTACCGAAGATTTGAAAAAAATTAAATCCAATTTTACGAAATGTGATAGTCGCTTCATCGGTATTCACTCTGAGGCGAAACGCTTCTAAATCCCGCAGAAGTAGAAATTGAATATTTATGGTAATTGATTTTGAGGCCAGAAAAACCCGAATACGAAATATTTATGATTATAGTAAAATGGAAAATGAAAGTTGTATACGGCTTTGCGAATACAATAAAACTGATATATTGAGTTTTCCTATTGGTCATTTAGCGAAATCCTTTCTTCGTATATATGAAACTTCGATTATTAAGATGACGCAAGTGATATATTAAGCCAGATTGCAGACAACAACGCTGAAACATATAAAGAAAAACAGTAAATCAGATAATAAGGCATTTAAGAGATATATAGGGTTTATGTGGTTACGGCAAAGCTTCGAGGATGCCTTCGTTGAGGACTTCCTAATGGAAACTGGCTCGTTTACACGTTACACCTGGGAAAACCCACGAAAACGCCCATGCAGCCAGCCTGTTCTCCGCGAATAAAACCTCGAACCGAACTACCAGTGTTCAGCGACCTTACCGCCCGGCCGCTGGTGGGCCGTAAGAGATTTAGAGATAAAAAGGATGTAGAGACATTAGATTTTTTTTATGCACGAGACTTGAAAAATGAGCAATGCTCTCGCAGGGTCTCGAAACACGGACCTCTTGAATACGCGCCGAGTGTGCTGGCCATTACACCACGAAGGCGGGAGAAATACCTTATAAGCAAATTTAGAATGCTTAATTATAGTAACAAATTTTTACTATCAATATCTTCGAAGGCATCTAATTTCCCATTTTCGGAATGTTTTGAGTAATTACGACAGAACTAAAATGCATATATTAGGTCAGAATTTTAAAGCATTTTAAGCATAATAGGTAAAACTGCGCATTTAAAGGAAATTTTAAAATTACATTTCACTCTATGGTATTATTTGATGTTTTTTTATCGGAAATTTCATGCTGAGTCCTTCTGTTGTTTCATGTCTAGTGACAGTAATCCAAATATTGAATTAAAACATGAAATTCGTTTTAAGAATATCAAAATCTTTTTTCCTCTTTACTATCTTGTATTCTATAAACAAAATATCCGCAGTTGCATACATAAGACAGTTGCGTAAAATGTGCAACTCGGAAAAAATTATGACAATTTATGAAAAAAAAATGTTTTGTTAGCTGAATATATATCGCATGAAACCTTCTTTTACAAACTCTTCGAAACATGCAAATGAGAAAAAGGTTGAATGATGCCATTATTTCATATGTTATAAATATCAGAACATCGCATCATGTTTCGTTATTCCACAACGTAAATCTAACATAGATATTTTGTTCCACATTTTTTTGTGATCATGTTACAAGTGTTAGCAACAAATCAAAAGACGTCAATGTTCTTTATCATTATAAAATTTCACCAAATGAATTCAGATAAGACAACTGCAATCCGAAGACAGTTTGCAGTCTAACTAATTGAAAACGAATTTACCTTTAAACAGTCAGAACTTTTAAAAAAGTTTTTAAATATTGAAACATGTAAAACATAAATTGAAGTAACAAATGATCTTGCACCAGCTAGAAACATAATGTCGTGGTATAAACGTATTTTTATGAATGATAACAAATTTCCTAACGTTCCTCAAATTTATCATTTGGATACATTATAAATGAAACGTATTTCAACTTTACGCATTAGTTAAATACATTATTTGAAAGTTAGATTAGATCAGTTAGATACATTATTTGAAAAATTTTAATTTAAATTTTAAAAAAATCTGAAAGCTTTCAGATTTTATATAACGCTCAAAGGGACTTTTGTTTTAAGATTTTGTGTGTTACCTTTACTTATTAAATATTATATTCTTCGCTCAAACCATAAAATTCAGTTCAACAGCAATATCGCAAAATATTTAATCTAGAATATCCGATATACAGTCTCATGTGCTGGAGATAAAAATGGTGTTTTTCGAGCAGTGTTGCCATAGATCGCTTTGAAATCGCTGAGTTTGTTAATTAATCGCTGAGTTTGTAATTATGAGAATTTATGAAAAAAATTTTTTGTTAGCTGATATATCGCATGAAACCTTCTCTTACAAATTCTTCGAAACATGTAAATGAGAAGAAGTTGATTGATGCCATTATTTCATATGTTAGAAATATCAGAACATCGTATCTTGTTTCGTTATTCCACAACGTAAATTTTCACAATCAAAATTTGAAATAGATAATAGAGCAAATTCGAAATTTGGGCTTACAGATGCCCATAGAAGGGCAAAAGTTTGCCACTTCAGATTAAACAATAAACTGGATGGTAGCTTTTGTCAACCGTTTCTTGCTTCATAAAAAACAAAGATTCTCTAATCATAAAATGTTAATAATAAGAAAAAGATAATTTTATAGAATCTGACTGGAAATGCTTTGTAAATACCATCAAGTTTGTAGAGATATTAGGTTAATTGGAAGCACAAAAGATGAAAAATATGCAACCGCCTTCGCCGGGAATCGAACCACGGACCTTTGGAATACCGGCCCAGCGTGCTACCGTTACACCACGAAGGCACGCTAGGGAAGTGGGAGAAATAACTTATATACTCCCCTTTTTAAAGAGCAACTAGGGTTTTAGGGGACCTAGTCGCCAAATCCCGGGTGTGTAGTGTCATCATCCACAACCCGTCCCTGTTCGGGCGCCATTTGTAGAGTCATTAGGTATTTTTGGAAGCCGGAGAGATGACAAATTAGCAAACGCTTCGCCGGGAATCGAACCACGGACCTCTGGAATACCGGCCCAGTGTGCAGAACCACTACACCACGAAGGACGCTAGGAAAGTGGGAGAACTACCTTATAAGTTTATAAGGTGTTTCTCCCGCCTACGTGGTTAAGTGGTTCTGCACGCTGGGCCGGTATTTCTGAGGTCCGTGGGTTCGATTCCAGACGAAGATGGTTGCTAATTTTTCATCTTGCCTGCTTCCAAAAATCCTAATGTCGGTACAGTGGCGCCCGAACTAAAAGGGTGGTGGATGATGATTGGGTCCCCTAAAAGCCCCAGTCGCCCTATAAAAGGGGGAGTATATAAGGTATTTCTTCCGCCTTTCTAGCGTGCCTTCGTCGTGTAGTGGTTCTGCACGCTGGGTCGATATTCCAGAGGTCCGTGGTTCGATTCCCGGCGAAGGCGTTGCTCATTTAATGACTCTACAAGTTGTAACTGAAGATTACCCATGCTTAGGGGTAACATTTTAATTTAATTGCTTTAGAATAACAAATATTTTGTTCTCAGATTCAAATTTTGATCGACCGGCACGACCATGATATTTTCAAAAGTAAAAGGTCTTAAATAAATCACTTCGATTTGGGAAACTTACATAAGTTCTTGTTGGGCTCGCTTCTCAAAAGGACAAGTGTTCGAACGTTTTGAGACCTGATTCCATTTTCGTGTATAGAACTAAATTAGATTCTTAATTTTTACTGGACATGCTTGACGTAACATGCAAACATAAAATTAGATTTTAAACATGGATAGCTGTGTTTCATCAAGAATGAGCAATGTTCAGCAAGAATGAGTAAATGTTTTCGTTATTCTGAATTTTTTTTTTTTTTTTTTTTTTTTTTTTTTTTTTTTTTTTTAAACGAAGCAAAATCCGAAAAAGCAATAACGCTTTGCTCTTTTATTCACCTTAGCGACTACATTTCCGGTACCTGCCGAGCCCACCACAGAAAGAAAAAATCCCCGAAACCAAGGTAGGGCTTTTTTTATTATTACCTTTTACCTCGGCAAGAAAACGTAATATTTGTGGAGTTGATGGATTTTTTTCAACTTTATAGAATTTCTCCCTCGAGCCTTAGGACGAAAAGCTGTTTCAAACCAAAAGTGGATTCCTGAATATTATTGTGCTCATGGTTTTCGAAGCGCGAATGTTGACAAGCACATAGTTCAATATACCATGAATTATTTAAATTAATTGTTTCACGGTTTATTAAACTAAACATATCGTACGATTTTTATTGAACAAGAGTGAAATAAAACTTTATTCAATGCGTGGGGAATAAAGCTAGAAATTTATTTTATATAATTTATAACTTTGTTCATTGAAACTAAAGCTTTCATGAATTGTAACCGACAACTCTGAAAAGAATCGCAAAGCGATCGAACATCAAAATTAACTGGAAGGTTAGTAATTTGTAAGAACAAATTTCTAAAGTTTCGTCCCTGATGTTGTTATGATTATAAAAACAGAAGCTTTACATATTTATTTAAATTTCAAAATTATTTTCTAGACAGTCGAACTACATGTTTGATTAAACTACTAATGCTACATGTTTGAAGATTTCGGTATTTTCAAATAGTCTAAATGATCTCAGCCTGTAAAAATCGATTTTCTGCTCGCATTAACTTAAATAGAATACATTCGGACTATAAATATATGTATATGTAATAATAAAATCCCATAGTCAAGAATACATTTAAAATTCTAACTGTGTGTTCTTTTCATTTTTAATGGCGACGGTCTCTTATTTGAAAGTACGTGGAACTAAATCCACAGCCCGTAGTCAAGTTGTTTTTCCCGCTTTTTCTACACGTAGAGTTATAGAATGTTCTGGAAATATTTAAAGCGAACTGGATTGGCTGACGAGGCTGACGTCATTTCTTGGAAGCTCCGCCTTTCCAGAGGCTATAAAAGGACTCGCAAAAGAATATCGGGGGCCTTTTCTTAAATGTCACGATGCAGTAAACTTCATACAAAAAGTTATTAGTAATTCTTTTTATTTACTCCGGATATCTGATTTTGTAACTGCTATTTCTCCTGAATAATAATAAATGGATCCTGTTTTTTTTAAAAAAAACTTATCGTCTGATAATTTAAGCTACGACTAAAGCTGGAACAAAAACAATATATATATATATATAATATATAAAGAAAGAAAAAAGTCTGTTTGTTTGTTCGCTAATAACTCAATCACTACTATAGCTACCGTCACCAAACTTTCTACAATTCTTTTGTGGGTCCTGGAAAAGATCGCCGTCTACTTTTTTCCAAACAAAAGTAGATAAAATAAGAGATATTAATTAAAAACTCTGAAAAACGATCATTTTTCTGTCATTTTTTCGAGCTGCAATAGTCTGGCAAGCTAGAGATGAAAGTCTGGTTTATATCGAGTTGTTGCCACTGCTCGCTTTCAAATTCCAGAGATTGTTCATAAAACATTTTTAAGTTTTACGATGAAATAAAAATAGCATTGCCAAACATTAAGTACATTATTCCTGATTCCAAAATTTCGTGTAAAATAATTTCAACAATTAATTTAATTAATATTACAATTTTCATCAGCCGAAATATTAATTAAAAATTCTGAAAGCGTTGAATTTTTATTTTCGCACTCATTTTTCCAAGTGGCAACAGTCTCGCACGTTTGAGATAAAAACGCTTTATTTCGAAACGTACGTGGCGAGCAATGGCGAAAAGTGTTCCCACTACTCTTTTTTAAATCTTAGTCTTTGCTAATCAGAAATTCGCAAGTTTTACAAAATCTATACATATAAAGAAGAATGTCTGCTTGTTCCCGTTATTCATTTCTGATCCATCATGATCAATTTTTTGCCACATTTACAGAGGCTGTTCGCACATATTTTAGACGATTTTTGTAAGCGGTAATAAAAAATCGTTTGCTGCAAAAGAAGTAATTGCAATTTTACTATGTTTTTAAAATGTCCAAGTTATCGTCTATGGCTTGAAAGTTTTGTTTTTATTCAAAATGGCGAATTTAACAAAGCAGTGTTTCGAAGGCTACATTTACGCTCTTTCCGAAGAGAAATAGGCATACTCCGTTATCCAAAAACGATGTGAGAGTCATGGGTTTGGGCTATCTAAAGCGTCGATAGATAATATCATCAACAAGAAAGGAAAAAAAACCGTCAAATTGGAGCCTCAAGTGGGACAAAAGTTCCAAACAAGTATCCAAGGAAAAAACGGACATGTTCGACTATTGCAAATGTACGTAGTTTAATGTTAAAGAAAAATCCCCCTAGTCAAAGCACAGTTGCAAAATCATTAAAATGCTCGGTGTCCACTGTAAACAAAATGATAAACGTTGATTTAAATCTTAAGAAAGCGAAAAAATGTAATGTGCATCGTCTTCTTCCAAAGCATGTCGCTCAACGCAGGACACGCTGCAGAATTCTATATGAGAAACACTTATCCAAAGAAAATGGAAAACAATTGTCACAATAGATGAAGCATGGGTGTATTTAAATGATTGTAACAAAAAAATAGCCATTTATTATCATAAAAGGGGAGAAAAAAATTTAAGTACATGGTTCAAAGAATCGAAAGAAAGTTTTTCTAATGGATTCAGGATGGTTACTGGTGTTTCTTATAATGTCAAGTTAAAAATAAAGAGAGTGCAAGAAAATGTCAAGATTAACTCCAAATACTATCAGGAACATATTTTATCGCCAATTCTTCTGAATGAAATACCATCGCTTTACCCACAGTGCCATCCATCTGTGAGACTCCATCAGAACAAAGCTAGCAGTCACACATCAAAATTCACTGTAAATTTCCTAAAAGAAATGGAGCAAAAAACTGGTATCAAGGCCATACCCTTCACTGATATCCCTACTAAATCTTCCGATGTGTCACCTATGGATTTTTGTGCTTTCGGACTTTTAAAAACTGCATTATCCAAACGTTGTCCCAAAACCCTAACAGGACTCTGGAAAGCTCTTCGGGAGGAATGGGATAGAATACCTCTTCTGCCACTTCAAAAGGCATTATTATCCTGGAAATTGCGGTGTCGAAAGATAGTTCAGAATAAGGGATGTCAAATAGAACATTTAAAACACAAGAATTTTATGTAATTTAGTTTTGTGAATACAATATACATCGTCTAAAAAATGTGAGAACAGTCTCTGTAATCTACTAAAATCAAATATAGGTGAAATATTGGACGGAACTTGAGCTTTTAAGACCATTTGATTAGAAAGACGAAAATCGTTAAAAACTTCGTGGTAATGTTGCTGATATAATGGGAGAGAATTAGCTTATTTTTCTATCGAAATTTTTTATGTGGGTTCCATATCGCATCAGACTGAAAAATGCATGACTCTGAATCGCATATTTTTGCATCGTTATTCGATAAGGATTACAGCGGTATCATTCTCTCTTTTGTTATAGATACATTACTCTCAATCTGCCTTAACTGGCATATCCGCTAGTAGTATAATAAACTCTTTTTCTCCTTTCACTTTATTCACTACGTGACGCTTTATTTCAGATAATTGAATTAAGAATCTTACGCAAAATTTTAACTTCGATTTCAAAGACTAGAATCTGAATATGTCTCGAAATGAGTTCTTTTTGTTGGAATTCAACATCAAATTAAAATTTCATTTTGAATTTTATAAAAAAATTTTGCATGTGTCCTCGTAACTCAAATTTCTGCTTAAAAAATTAAAGCGTTTCTAAGTAATAGATTTGATAATGCATCTAGAATTTAATACGTAGTATACTTCCATATTAACATCATCCGAGACGAAATTAAACCGAAACAATTTATCTACGTGAGCCACAAACTCAAGTCTGATTAGTTTAAAAGCAGTCTTATTCTGCTCTAACTTTAGAATGAATTTTTCTCCGTGGAAGAATAATGTAATCAACATTTGTTAGACAAGTGCTGTCAAACATAAAAATAAAAGCATCATTTATTTATTTAAAACTTTAAAAGTATTATATGTGTAGTCACCAGATAAGGAGTGGCCACACGAGATTGTTCCAACTTCACCTAATCGCCATTAAACGTGTGGAGAATTTTAAGTAAACAGCCTGCGTTCTCTTGTTATATAATGTTCAGCACATCTGAATAAGAACACTGTTTAATTTCTATTCTGTTTTCTATCTCCAGCGATGTCCTCTTCTTTTTAAATCCTTGTACGAAGTAAAGAAAGTATTGTAATCATGAAAAATTCCTGATATCATATTTCAACGAAAATATCCATTTTGACCGCTATCGAATGCAATTTTTTTTTTATTAAAAGAAACACAACAAGTTCCCCATGTACCACATAGTATCACATGGGGCTTACAGAAGTAAGTATGAAACACAATACAAACTAAACAGAAGAGAAAATTGAAATAAAATTAAGGATGATTACACTTTTACAATGAATTGACAAAAAGTGTTAAAAGCACTTCTCTCGGAAATAAATTGGTAAAACTCTGGAGGCCAGTTAATATTAAAATTTTTCAGTCCCAGTTTCAAGACTTTTCTTTCGCTCTCATATTTAGGACATAGAAGAAGCACATGTTCAACATTCTCCTCGCCGCCGAGGACACAGTCACAGACAGACTCAGGACTCAACTGAAATCTGTTCAAATAACTTTTAAAATTCCCATGTCCAGTAAGAAAGTGGGTTAATTTATAATTTGTGAAGAAATGATGACACGACAATCTCATTTTAATAGAAGGGGAAAATCTTCTAGTTAAACTCCCTTTATTTGAATTAATGAATTCGTGATTCCACGACTCCACAATGCTTTCATACATGACCTTCTTATAGAAGGAATTAGGGATATTGACAAAAGTGTCAATTTCCCGCTTAGTCGCAGTCTTAGCAAGGAAATCGGCTCGTTCGTTCCCAACAACACCTGTATGACCACGAACAAATGAAAATGAAACCGAAATATTTTTATCCTTTAGATTTTTCAGTTCTTTTTGAATCTCGATAATGATATTATTAGAAG